TTTTATTGCAAAAATACGTGGAGTACATGGCATGTTTCTGGAATCTAGGCAGCCTGTGCTATACAGTAATTCAAATGTGAATCCCCTCTCTATTTTTTTTTTCCCAAAAGATCCAACAACCAAAGAGAAAGCAAAACCCACACTAAAGTAAACATAGTATTTGAAATAAGAAACCCAGAAAATAGACAGCCAGTCTGGAACGCAGCAGAGTATTCCAAAAAGGAGGGAAATCAAGATCTCAAACATCAGAAACTTAATTACTCAAGTACTTCATTAGCATACTTTCATCTTAACTTTGTTAATCATCAAGTAAACTTGGCAGCAAACTCCCGATACTAAATTGAGGTATGCAATATTACTGTAGCTCATTCAAGGAATAAAATTATCACTAATCTCATCCTTAAATACATATGGCTCCGAACTACCTTGAGTCACATTGTAACCATCACCATTCTAAAGTCCCACACAATTTAAGAGATTTTGGTGATTAGCAGTGCAGGAAGTTATGAAACTCAGTATAAACTTAGAACATCAAAATCATCCTTGGTGGATAAGAGGTTCATTGCTCAGACTTTCTTCACATTTCTCAATCTGCTTAGCACCATAATGGAGGAAAAAAAAAAAGAGAGAAGAAAAAAAAAAAAAAAGGAGGAATCTACAACTTACACACAAGAATGAAACAGAAAAATTCAACCCATCTTCTCCCAAACTCTCCCTGCCCCCAGCAAGACTTCCACATCCCGCTTCCTACCTTTCCACACAAATCATGTCTGGCATTTAGAGAACTTGGCAATGTGTGTCCCGCTTCCAGTCTCACACCAAAAACCCAAAACAGATTCCTGTCCTACCTAGCCAGTATTTTACTAGCCCCATACAGGTACTTCTTGGTCGCTTGTATCTTTCTCATAAAAAAGCAGGGGAAGTACATTGCTTAATACACTGAATGTCACAGATATGTATGTACAATAACCCCCCAAACGTACTTTTGTTACAGATGTGGAAAATACCAAACACACATTCAATCTCTGATCTCTCACAACAGTCTGAAAAAGCAGACCTCGTCGCTGTATCAGGGGTGGTGCACAAGGGGAAGAAACTATGATCCAGTAGAGGAACTTGAACAGAACCCACATTATGCATTTCTCAAGAAACCCAAAAAGATTCACTATTCTGACCTCTAAAATGTATCTCATTTTATGCATGTACAAAGTATTTTCAGGGTATATGCAGAAGACTTATCTTTCAAACTACCCTTCTGGATGAACAAGGCTGGACACAACGCATGTGCATACTTCTTCCTCAAAATGCTGAGCTGTTTCCTCGGAGCATGCTGGACACCACAGCTCTACGGGAGCCATAGCTGAAAGGTCTCAGTTCACTTTGCAGGAAACGGTTCTTTGTTTCTGCATTCCCAGAACAAACCTATAATGAACACGCACTGAAGTGCAAGGAGTTGCAAGTATTTTATGGATGCTCGGTGTCAAGTACAACCCTGATAATGGATACACCCTCTCAAATGTTTAGACGGGAACCAGCTTTGCATCCCTGGGTTTCGATAAGCAATCACGTTGTTATCATTGCGTCATCTGGGCTCCCTCCCCCCGCCACAGCCCACAAGAGGAAGAATGCCAGAGCTCCAAGTGAGCAGCGAAGTCATGAAGTCAACCCATGTCTGACAAACACCCGTGGCAGCAGAAGGATCACACAGTTTTTCTCACTGTAGGCAAAAAAATGCACTGTCACACAACAGTGAAGAGAAGGGATAGTCATCTCCTGTCTAAAAGACTGTCTATTATTCTGAGCAATGAGAAGTCATCTGTAAATTCAAAGTTACATTAGGCATTCTTATTCATATCATCATCTTCAAAAACAGAAGCCTGGATCTTTTGATTCTTCACCTCCGATAAGGCCTTCAGTAAGTAAAGTGTCCTTCTCTTTGTGCCTACAGTGTCTATAAATCCCTACAATATGGAAGTATTTACAGTACTAAGTTAATATAAATATTAAATCATATTTAAACACTTCCTCTATCTAGTGATAACTGTCACAATCATAATAAATCTAGGAATACTTAAACGAACCAAGGTCAGTGAAAAATTACAAAGGTAATTCTCCAAAATCATTAAAGTATCAAAGGGTTTTAAAGTATCTTTTCAGATTTAAACATAAGATGAATTAAATCAAGACTTCTGCCAGACACTTAAAAATTCAAAAACCTCAGCTCTGTCTCAGAGGAAAAAAAAAAAAAGTCACATACTTGTTTAAGTGACAGCATCCTTTCTGCACACCTTCTTGTTCCTCAATCTCTTTCTCTCAATCTCCTTCCCTTACTTCATTTGGTGCTGCAATTCCAGAGCCAAATGCCCATGAAAACTCAGTTCACCTGCACTGAAATCAACATTTCAACAAAATATAGAGTTGGAGAAACTGAGGTGTAGAAAGTTTTAAGTGTTTGCTAGAAACACGCTGCATCAGTGCTGAAGCTGGAAACCAGAAGGAGGGCATGGCTTTGATAGAGGGCTAAGCTAGACACCCCTGTTACAGCTCTCCAACTCAGAAACATCTTCTTGCTCCCTCCTTTTTATTTCTAACTCTGCCACAGATGCAGCAAGTGACTTAGAGGCAGCAAGGTGGAAAGGAGCTTAAATTATCTCTCCCATCAGGAAAGCGTAACGCTTCCCCACTTCAGGGCTGCCGACACCATGGCTGGAAGGAACACTACCAGTGTTATCATCTCTTGGCAAGACAAGGAAATGATACAACTCAAGTTAATTCAACAGTAAATTAATCTTATTCTTGTATCCGTTCTCAACCCTCAGAACAAATGCTATCACAAGGGTACCAAATCATGTTTCTCAGGAACACTTTAAAATTGATCACTTCCAACAGCTAAAACAAGGGATGGGATGGGATTTGAGCAACCTGGTCTTGTGGGAGGTATCCCTGCCCATGGCAGGGTGGTTGGAACTAGGTGATCTTCAAAGTCCCTTCCAACTCTAACCATTCTATGATTCTACGACTCTTTTCAGATGCCCACATCAGGCTCCATACTTGAATATCTTGCCTACTAATAACAGAGCAAATGCAAATATTCAACTGTAGCTCAGTGCTTACTGCCTTACCTGCAATTTTGTGTCTATGAAAATAACTTGACTTTGTAAGTATTCATCCTAATTGTTTAAACTGGGTAACAGTGGTAACATTTGGAAACAAATCATTGGATGAATATATCCATAAATGAGAAACTTGTAAGGGAATATAAATACAAACACTGATTTGTACCTTTTTCAATACCCAATTCAAAGGAAAAAAACAAAACAAAATGAACACACAACTTCCATTTCAGACTAGCTTTTCACGCAGAAGTCCATTTGCAACCATCCTCAAAATGACAAACATATACATATAGCAGGATAACAGGACTATATCAAAAGGCAAAAAGTTCAGCAATGTCATTCTGATCAGTCTCGTTGCTGCAGCATTTCTTACACAATCATAATCAGGCAATCAAGCAGAGATGTCTGGGATCTGTCTGTTACCTGGACATCAGATCTATAAACTATGCACTTTTTATAATATCACCTTAAAGAACTTTGTAGAATAAATGGGTTTTAAAGCATCAAAGCTGAAGTTATAGGTCAGACACCATTTTCCCCAAAACAGCTCTCTGTTGAGGATTACTAGATCAAAGCTATGGATTCTTGATCTCTTCTTTGCCCAAACCTCCAAAAGACACAGAGACTGCCAAAATGAAATAAAGTCATTAGAGAACAGCTGCTTTCAATATTTTAAGACTTGTTTGAACAACTTACAAGTTTTGGTTAACTGACTTTTAATTTTTACAGTGCTTTACGTAGCATCTAAGACCTTGTTAGATAGTGCAGATTCAGTATTTATGTATAGTATTTGCTTTATGCACAATGTCATCTGCCAAATCACTGTGCTGCAGCAGCACCTGATGTGTATTAGAGCAGTCATACCCTTCCAAAAATTTAAAAGAGCTATAGGGAAATTTTATTGGCTGTTCCTTAACTTTCTGTACATAAATCTCTCTGCTCCAGCCCACTCTCAGTCGGCCAATTCTGATTTCACTGGGTGTTTTCTTCAGCGTGATACTGACTACATGCAGAATTGAGAGCAGAGGTTGAGATCATCTGTGGTAAGGGCAAGAATTTCGATTCCAACCCCAGTGAAGTCAGAATTCACACATACATACACACAATGACTCTTGGTTGGGAAATACAGCAAGATTCTCAATTACAGGTTAACAAAACCTTAGTCTACTCAAATTAAAAAACAAAGACAACAAGAACCCGCAAACCCAACATACCTAGCCCTAGCAATGCACTTAACCTCTATTTCTCATCACTGTAACTCGCTTGAATGTCTTTAGCTGTTTGAACTAAAAATCTGCTATTGAATCACTCTCATCTGCTACGCACACGTTTAACCAAAGATTGTCAGCCCCCAATAGTTTTGGGCAGATGTTGGATTCCTACAAAAATGAGATTCTAGAGCACCATGCTGTAACAGTGTGTCAGGAAGGAGAATCCTTTCAGCAGACACATTTTGCATGAGGCTATAAACACTGCAGGAGCAGGATATAAGCTATGAAGATCATTATTTAAAAACTATTTCACCTTTGCTCAGAACTCATAGCCATATTTGCTTCTACAGCAAGTCTCAAATCTCACCAGAACATGAATGGGCTCTCCAAATAATAGTTCCCAAAGAGAGAGCAAAGGTCTATCAAGAAGAGTGTCTGGGTTGCCTGCTATACAAACCTGGAGAGTAGGAATGCTTCTAATAGCACCAGAGGTCCAACCATTTTCCATTTACAGTTGTGGAAGTTGTCCATGAATTTGAATGGAAGATTCGAGGGAACACACACGCCACTCCTTTTCATACTAAATTCTTAAAGAAAATGCAAGTTTCTGCATTTTGTCACTCCTCAAGGAAATCTGATACTTAACAACACCTGCACGCAATGAGTACCCAAATGAAGTCATAAAGAGCCAGCTGCCCTTTATTTAAAATGCCCTTTGCAAAAAACTTGTCATACATTCTTTTGAGAGAAGCAGAACTGCCAGGAATCCCACCACCACAGAATTCAACATCCAGAATTGTAAGCATCAATGAAGCCTGAGCATCGTGTTGATAAGAACCACACTTGTATTGAAAACAAGGTTGAAAATGTGGCACGGTTACAATCACAGAGACTAGGATTTCAAAGACACACTTTCTTGCAATAGAACAAGCTTGGATTTTTAAAAATACAATCATTATGTACAGCAAAATATGTGGCCATAAGACCAGCCTTAAACTAAGGCCTTGTTTACACAATTTCTGCACTGTCAGGAAGTATTTGGGCTGGGAATGTCATTTTTCTTCCAAATCAATTAAATATTTGCAATTCTCACTGTGAAAAGAGCTATATACCACCTTTGTATTGACATGGGTATAATATATTCCCACAGGGAAAAGGAATAAAAGAGTACCTTTATATTGATACAACATTTTCCTCGAGTGTAGAAGCTAATATAGCTTTCATTATTCAGTCAAGTTAAAGCAGTATGATGTTTTTCTAATTTATAGACAAGGCCTATGTTTAAAAAGCACCAAAACACTTCAGAGTATTTGGAAGATCAGACTACTGAGCTCTACTTTTTGTACTGTCCTCACCAAGTCATAGAGAACATTGAACATCTAAATACATTCAAAACTCTGATTAGACCCATGCCATGGTTTCTTAAATCCTTCACTGTTTAATGAACACACTTTTTTGGCAAGAACTAGAGTATATCCACAAAAGACCCCAGCGTAATCCAGAACTTACTAGGCTGCCTTCAGCTGCTCTGCTAGGCTGAGAAAAACTGGACTTTTGGTGCCACTGTGTGATACACACACCCATTTTTGCATCATTCCTCAATCACAATACAGGCAGTAGGGCAACAGGAGGCACTAGAAAACATGAAGAATCTGCTACCTGTTGGGGAGAACAGAATAAATACCTGCTTTCATTAAGTGGAACATGTTGATTCCAATACACTGATCTGGAGCATGTCATGTTGATTGCTAAAAACTGTATAATCCCATTGAACTTAAGGCAAAATTGAACCATAGCAATAGCTGAGATGTAAATAATGTCTAAAGTTTTTTTAAAAATGCCATATAAGTTTTTTAAACTTCAGACACAGTGGCAGTCAAGCTTTCTTAGTTCTCAATGCAGCATTTTTGTTAAAATAAACCCTCACTATTAATAAGCATTATTCCTCTGCCCCTCTAACCTGGAAGTCCATGGGGAGTTGGCTTCTAATTAATTTTTAGAAATTTCTGAAAGACAAGCTGCAAAGAGGTTTTTCATTTTCACTTAAAAGTGGAGAGGCTGGATTAATTTGTCTGTCACTTGAAGGCCCCAAGCAGAAGTTGAGGGAATGCCAGTAGGGTTGCCTTCTCCAACCCTCTTTGTTTTCAACTGTGATTGTATCAGTCTGACTGATACAGCTTGACTGATTTGTATCAGAACAGGTCCTTGCTGTTTTGAAGGACATGGGAGCTCAGGAGAAGAGAGACCTTCAATAGTTAAGTATGTATTTTCCAAATTTTCAGTAGATCTCGGATGTTGCTAAAATAAGTATCCAATTTTCAACTAAACCACAAGATTATAATTTTAATTTCCATCACTGGAATTTCAATACATAGAATTAAACTAATACTAAACACTGTTCTTCCAGTGATGAAGCAGAAAGTTTTCTTATGTAAAATAGTAGAAATTATCAGATTCAGAGTAGGAATCATGGCAGTTAATTTTCAGTTGGTCTGATTAAAAACCCCTTTACACATACATCATTGCTGAACTTTTGCTTTCATGTGGTAAGATATTTCAAGTCTTCTTGGGATAGGGGTGAGGGAAAAAATTAATAAAAAAGAAAAAAAAATTGAAGGTTTTGTGTGCTCATCTTTAAAGAAGGGGCTCAGAGAGGAAGATAATGGATGTAAACAAACTCCCTAGATCTTCCAAATGACAGAAGATACAGATGTCTCCCACCCTCTGCAAACCAGGAAAGAAATAAAGGTGTGATGCATAATTTTAAAGCGTTATAACACGATGAGATTAAAAGCTTAAATTTTATAAATAATCAACCTTTAGAATTTTAGCCCAATAAACCATGCTGTTCCCAGTAAAGAATAAGGACCTAATTTTCCAAGGCCTTTTGCATTCACGCCACGCTACCTTCCTAAATGCTGCCTACTGAATATAGCATCCATTCATGATGGCATCACATAGGGTCAAGACCTAAACACAAATGAAAAACTGTATTAAAAATTATTAAATATTAGATAAACTAGCACTCTTGTGGTATGTCTTTTTTTTTTTTTCCCTTTAAACACTCTCCTGAATCAAGCCCCCCCCCTTTCACTTCTATTAAGACATAAATCAGGAATAACAGCCTATGTGAAAGTTAGTGTTTCATGTAATACATAAAAGCGCACAAAGTTGTTTTCTAAAAAACAGCATTTGTATTAAAAATCTTAAAATGGATAGACATCTCTTAAATGCATGTCTGGAATTAAAATGACAGTTGTTAGAATTTTCTTGGTACATCACAACGATAAGATTTCCTTCTTTGCTGGCTGGAGGTACATCCCACAACAAAACCAAAGGAAAAAAAAAAAAAGCCACCCCCCCAAAATCCCAAAAGGCTAAATTCTTGTAAATTTGAAGTAAATGAAGCCCGAACTTGCAAGACATGGCAATTACAGTTAAAAGGCTCAGATGGAAATAAGAAATAAATTCCACTAACAATAGGCCCTTTTGTCCTGGCTTGTTCGGTATGATTACTGCAAGGAAACTGTTAAGTAGTTTTTGGAGTAGTAGATAATGGGATTCTGTGGAGCTTTCACAGGTTGGCACCGGCTGGAACAGCTGAGTTTTGAAGGCACTCTATAGACACAGGGTTGCTGTTGGCCCTGCATCACATATAGGAAGTCTTTGCACTTTAGAGAGCTAGTCATCAAAATCAGTTATTGCCAACCTAAAAAGAAAAACCCTCGGAACAAAAACACCACCGCTCCCACCCGCCAAAGGAAAATTAAAATAAAAACGAAATCACACACACACGCACACCTAAAAAATTGTGCAGATCTGTAACATTTTCACAGCTGATTTAAAAAAAAAAAAATAAACAAACAACAAAACACAACAGGAAAACCCCAACACGCTACCACTCTCCTGCAAACTCCCATCCGATACAGCAGGTAAACAAAATAGAAGATTATTTCACAAATCATCAGCAGACACTTTCTGGCACCCCACACTGTATTGGCATCAGTGTTTGAGTTACAGTCCCAGTTCAGATGTGCAATTCTCCAGGCGGGACGCCCCGGGCACAGCCCCCCAGCTTTTGCATAGAGATCCTCGGGCCGGCGGCGGGCTCCACGCGTGTCCGGGCTCCACGCGTGTCCGGGCCGGGCTCCACGCGTGTGCCCCGCTCCCGGGGCCGCTCCCCGCCGCCGTCCTCCCCCGTGCCCGCTGCCAGCGCGGGGCAGCGGCAGACACTGACGGGAAATATGCAACGACCAAGACTGGACGAAACGTACATGCCGAAAAAAGCCACATTTCCAACACGATATAATTAATTTTTTTTTCCTTTTTTTTTTTTGTTTTTGTGGTGGTTTTGTGTTTTGTTTTGTTTTTTCTCCTCCTTTTTTCCGTTTCTGTGTGTGTCTGTCTCTGGCGGCCGCCGAGGCCAACGCGCCCGCCCCGCCGCTCGCCCCGGCCGGGGGTGGCTGAGCCGCCGCCGCCGCCGTGTGCCCGCAGCCAGCCCCGGCCCGCCGCCGCCCTCAGAGGATGGCGCAGGAGGAGCAGCACTGCTCGTCCCCGTTGGGCTGCGAGGCGTAGTTCATCTGCCTGACGATCTCCGCGAAGAGCTCGTCCACCGAGGCTTTGTTTTTGGCTGTGGTGGTTTTGTGTTTTGTTTTGTTTTTTCTCCTCCTTTTTTCCGTTTCTGTGTGTGTCTGTCTCTGGCGGCCGCCGAGGCCAACGCGCCCGCCCCGCCGCTCGCCCCGGCCGGGGGTGGCTGAGCCGCCGCCGCCGCCGTGTGCCCGCAGCCAGCCCCGGCCCGCCGCCGCCCTCAGAGGATGGCGCAGGAGGAGCAGCACTGCTCGTCCCCGTTGGGCTGCGAGGCGTAGTTCATCTGCCTGACGATCTCCGCGAAGAGCTCGTCCACCGAGGCTTTGTTTTTGGCCGAGGTCTCCATGAAGGGGCAGCTCCACTCCTCGGCCAGGGCTTTGCCCTCCCCGAAGGAGACCTCCCGCTCGCCCTCCAGGTCCACCTTGTTGCCCACCAGGATCATGGGCACCCTCTCGTACCTCTTCACCCGGATGATCTGGTCCCGCATGGGCTTGATGTCCTGGAAGCTCTGCTGGTTCACCAGGCTGTAGACCAGGATGAAGCCCTGCCCGTTCTTGATGTAGAGGTCCCGCATGGAGGCGAACTGCTCGGTGCCCGCCGTGTCCAGGATCTCCAGCACCGACGGCGAGGAGTCCACCTCGATCTCCTTGCGGTAGAAGTCCTCGATGGTGGGGTCATACTTCTCGATGAAGGAGCCCGTCACGAACTGGACGGTGAGGGCGGACTTGCCCACGCCGCCCGAGCCCAGCACCACCACCTTGTACTCCCGCATGGCTCCCGGCGCGCCGCCTCCCTCGCCTCCCGCTCGGGGCTGCCGCTTCCCTCCCGCCCTCACGGCGGGCGGAGAGAGGGAGGGAAGGAGGGAGGGGGGCGGGAAGGGGCGGCCGCGCCTCACGGAGCCGCGCCGGGCCAGCCCCGTCGCCGGCCAGCGCCGCCGCCCCGGGGGCGGGCG